AGGAGTTTTTTTGGAGTGTTACATTTGAGTGTACATTAAAGTGTTACAAATTGAAATTATATATTTGTTCAAAGCTTACTAAGGAGTTTATGTATTCCTTTTGAAATATTTAAAGAATCCCACATCATTTTGGAATATTTGAAGAATCTCATATTTCAAGTCATTTTGTACTCCTTTTGAAATGTTTGAAAATCTTATATTTCAATTCATTCCAAATTTGATTCTCATATGTTGTGTGTCTTACCTTTCTCGTACAAAAGGAAAAATAAATAAAATAAGGAAACAAAATAGAGATAAAAGTATAACCGTAAATCTAATTTTCAAAAAATGTATTAAATTTACATTTTCAAAATCAATGGGACTAATTGATCTATAAGAAAACTCGTAGGACTAATCGGATCATCATTCCTCAAGATGGAATTCGTAGGTAAATTTTCCTTGATTATTGTTATATCCTAAAAAATTCCATAACTAATTAACCTATCTAACCAAAATATTTTTACAAGATCATTGATCTATGATTGCTATTGTACGGGGGAAAATATTCGTCGCCTTTTCGTACTCTTTGCTACCAAGCTTGACTTGCTTTAATAGAACTCTATCTCACTGTAAACAAACAGGGGTGAGCTACCTGGTGGGTAGATTGCCGAAAAACCCCTTCGATGGTCAAGTTAGCTTTCTTAAAGAAGAATAGAGAATATAAAGCACTGTAGAGAGAGAGTGGCTAAAGTTGCTTACCCTCAGAGTCTGCTCGCGCCTCCTTTTCTAAGCTGGCCATGCAACCCCAGATTATGCTCGCACTACCTCTGTTGTTCTTTGTTGAACGTGTGTCTATACTGCCCTCTCTATTCCACACATGTGTATATGCTCAAATTGCCAAACAGCATCGTCCATACCACCAAATGGTATTGACACATACCATGAGTGGATTTCCCTCATATTGTCATTGGCCCACGTGGTATGTCAAACCGTGCCATTACTTGTGGCCTAGAAGCATCGCTTTGATCACGCTGATGATGGGTTAAGTTAGGCCGGTCTCAAGATAGGAACCGCATTCAATCACAGCCTTAACGGCATCATCTCAAGCCGGTCAAACGTAGGTGTGCCATTCGTCATCTCGACCACATACCTAGGTCCCAAGGTGCATCTCTTTCAACGGTCTTGGCCCAAACCGTCACTAGCTCGGTTGACGTGGGCCCTGTTATCGCTTCTAGAATCGCGACGCTGGAGGTAGCTCAGCCTAAGGCCATGCGCTATGTTGGTTTGGCATGGCGCCATATTCCGCGTGGGTTTAGCTCGACTCAACACCACGTTCCGTGTTGGCCTAGCTCGGTCCAATGTTCGGTATAAATCCCCCTCTCACCTATAATTTTGTTTCATTTTTTTATATATTTTAAACAAGTAATTTTGTTTCTTTAAACCACCAAGCTATACTTTCATAGCCTAATGTAGGATTTTATACTCTTTTTTTTTTAGATAGTGTATATCAATATAATAAAGGATTCAAAACTCCTTTCAAATATTGATGATGTGTTTGGTTAATAATTTTAGATAGAGATTTTGAAAGAAAAAATAAAAAGTATGTGAAATTAAATAAAATATAGTCATATTTCATTTATATTTCACCTATTATATATATATATATATATATATATTAATCTTTTCAAATTCCTACCTAAATTCATGAATCAAAAATAACATAAAGTTGGGTACATTACTTTTTTAATTTTTTTTCCCTAAATTTTTTGAATTAATATTACTTTTTAAAGTTATGTACTACAAACTCTTATCACATATATCACTTCAATAATAATGATTGAAATTTGTTTTAGTTGCTATATCAAAGAGGAAAATGTTTGAGGGCCACAAAATCAGTGGCTCAAATGGCTCAAAACTGTCAAAACGACGTCGTTTTGCGTTGTTTTGCATCCAAAACGACGTCGTTTTGACAGTTTTGAGCCATTTGAGCCACTGTTTTTGTGGCCCTCTAGCATGTGTAGATCTTAAAGTTTTAAATTAAAAATTATGTTAGAATTTGTTCAAATGTAATTATCTTAATATTTATAAATATTTTTTATTGATTGATAAAAAGTACCGTAAACATTAAAATTATTTTTTATGATATTGAGTTATTAAAACATGATGTATTGTAGTTTTAAACTAAGAATTGTTGAAAAAACATTGACTTGAACTACATTTCTAGACTCATTTTTAATATTTAATTTAATATTGGAACCCCAAAATTAGCTCATACTGGTCACGAACTGATAAAGACAATTTTTAATGATCAACACAATTTTTGAAGATTAGGTGAATATTTTATTTATTTATTTATTTTTAGCAAAGATAGTGTCAGTATGTTAATATACTTGTTAGATTACAATTAAAATGGTTCACCGCTGGTCTGTCAGCTCAAAATCTTGACCTCCCACTTACCACACCCGAAGGTGTGGCTAGTTAACCATTGGGCCAGACCCCAATGTCTCTTGGGTGAATGTCACATTGACATAAATATTGATTCGACTAGCTTCTAGCTCACTTTTAATGTTTAGTTGAATATTACAAGTCGATCATAATGCATTTTCCTGAAAGAGTTATGATACAAGACAATTTATAATTTTGAGTAGACAAATTTTTTATCTTTACAAAATAAGAAAAAAAAATAGTATATTATCGTATGCTAAATTAAAATTACAAAATTTATAAACAAATGTATTTATTTTATTGTAAATATATTTTTTGTTATTTTTCTTTAATTTTTAACAATTAAATTATGACATGTAATTTTTTATTAAGAACTTATAATACACAATTAATGATAACAAAATAAAAATCTTCTCTTAAAAAATAAATAAAATTCAATTAATTACAAATTATTTTTACTATATATTTTAAATAAATTTTATATCATTATTTTAATTTTAAAACTATTTTTTGATTATTTATCATACCCCTATATAGCATGGATAATATGCTAGTGGTTAATATACAAGTAAACACAATATACCCTACTATTTTTGTTTCTTATTACAAATGACAATGGCGATCGCAACAGTGTAACCATTCCTTGATTCTTATCCCTCACTTTCATCCCATTAATTATTTACTTTAATTTTATTAATAATTTCATTTAAAAAATAAAAATAAAGTCTACCTTAATAAATTAACAATAATGTTCAGTGCTGCGAAAATTCATGACTCGAATAGCTCGAATGTGTTAAAACGATATCGTTTTAGAGATAAAATAACGTCATTTTGATACATTCAAGACATTCAAGTTACACAAATTTAAGTCACTAAACATTTTTTTATAAATTAATTAGCCGAAATTAAATTTGTAAAAAATTCAATTCGGGCTTATGCTCACATCGGGCTACGGTAGATAGGTTCGAATTACAAACAAAACTTGGGCCACGAATGAGGATGCAAACACTAATTAATATATTAATTAATAATATATTATGTGAATTTTACATTTATATGAGAAATTTAATAAAAATTTTAGTAAATCTTTTGATATCTAAAAGAGTGTTGGGAATGATTTAAATAAGTATATTTTTTTAATTTTTATAAAAAGATGTGTAAAAAATAGAGAAGTGATATAACTAAAAAAATAAAAAAAAAAAGAAGTATATTTTTGTAAGGATTGTCAAATAGCACCTCATCTATATAAGATAGGGTAAATTACACTGACACTCCTGAAGTTTATATTTATTACAGTTCTCCCTTTACATTTGAGAAATTACACTGACCCATTTGTTAATTTAATTTTATTTATGATGATCATTACGGTGAGGGGAGAACTGTTATGAAACTTTACACCTCAAGGGACAATCTGTAATGAAACTTTAAACCTCAAGGAGGGAGATATAATTTCCAAAAGGTGAGAGGGGAACTGTAATAAATATAAACCTCAGGGGGGTCAATGTAATTTACCCTATAAGATATATGGTACAAATTTTAGTAAATCTTTTGGTCTCTAACATTACTCATTTAATAATTCATTTAGGATCACTAACCATTTTTATACTCATTCTGTCTCTAAATATTAGTCCATTATTTTATTTTTTTATTATTTCAAAATATTAATCTATTTAAAAAAATTAATGACTAAAAATAATATGAATTTTCTATTTTATCCTTATAACAATTAATATTTCTAAAAAAATTTATACTATTTTAATTTTAAATCAAAAAATAATTTTGAAAATTAATTGGTGTGTTTGATTTCAATTTTCTAAATTTAATTTTCTGAAAATTGAGTTTTCTATTTTTTGTATTTTTCTATTTTTAGTGAATATTTTTAAAATTTTAATTAATTTTTTTTTTACTTTTTTGATGCACATTATTTAGATGTATCTAAAAAGTAAAAAATTTGTGAAAAATATTTTAAAAAATTAATAAATACATAAAAATACAAAAAATATACTGAATTCTTTTTTAAAATTTTTTCACAAATATTATATTTTTTAAGTATATTTATGTTAAATATATCTAAAAATTTTAAAAAAATTACTTAGAATATTTAAAAAATTTAGTAAAAGTAAAATATAAAAAATAAAAAATTTAAATTATAAGTTGAATATTTTTAAAGTATGATAGTTGTATTAGGGTTCGTTTGGGAAGTGGGTTAATTTTTTAATTTTTTTTTTACTATTTTAACCTGGAATTAAAAAGTTTCGTTTGAAAATGATTTAATGACTTTTTTGATTTTTCTGTAAGAGGAATTACTATGAGTTGAATGTAATATTTTATTTTATTAAATTAAAAATTTTATTTTATTTTTTATGACTATTTTAATCCAAAAAAAAAAAACTGACTTTTGGCTTCCCAAACGAAGCCTTACAAAAAAGAAGTTAGATTCTGAAGAAGGAAATAATAATTTACCAAGCCAACTAGGGAGAACCCCACGCTCGAATGCAGTGCGTGCAAAACAACTCGTCGTTTTGTCCCCGTCTTTGAGGATATCCCTCTCTCTCTCTCTCTCTCTCTCTCTCTCTATATATATATACACACACACACATATACTTCTCTCTCTATTTCCACAGTTGTTTCTGCTCTCTCTCTAGATATATATCTATATCTGCAGCGGTTGTTGTGGGAGTGTATTGGTAATGGCGCCTGAAGATGAGGTGTTCGACACGCAAGCTGCAAGGACGCTGGTGAACCAACTCAGAGGCACGTTTTCCACCTGCAAGACCAAGAGCTACGAATGGAGAATCTCGCAGTTGAAGAATCTCTTGAAATTAGCCAATGATCACGAGCAAGACATCATCGACAGTAGTTATTTGACCTCTCCAAACCTCCACTCGAAGCATATGTCTCCGAGGTCTCTCTCTCTCCCTCTCTCTCTCAATTTTCATCGATTTCAAGCTTTTCAAATCCATTAGATTCTGTATATATGAATATCTATATGTATCGGTATATTCATCGCTGGTGCAATTTCGCTTCTGAAGTAAGGTTACTGAGATCAAAATGAAAGGTAGTATTTGCTGGTTGAATTCACCTCGTGAATAATTTTGATCTGGAGTTTGAAATTGTTTTTTTTTCCCCCTAACTATCTCAGATCGTTCTTATGCTTTCGTAGTTGTCTTGCTGACCTACTAGATAAGGTCTGGTGTTCTGTGCTTGTTCAATTCGTATAATTAGTTGAGATGTAATTCTCATTTCTCTTATTCGAGATCTAAATTGGCCAATTTTTTAGTTAATTTTTGAGTTTGTTTATTAGTGCGACATAGTTGTGGAATTTCTTCAATGACTGCGTTGATAGACTCGGTCTGTCTTTTGATGACAATATGTTTTGTCACTGTGCAATTGATGATTTTTCCTAAGTTTTGATGTTCAGATAACTCCCTCTGTCCATGTTGATGCTGAAACTGCTCCGTGGAAAATAACTTGATTTTTCTTGATCATATTATTGTTTTGTTGTAGTTTTGATTTGCTTTCAACACAACCCATGTTGAATTTTTCTGGGGGATAAATTTTGTCATGTGTACTATCTCTATGTAAGAGTACCGTGAGCTGTCAGGACAAGCAGGATGTAAGCATGGAATTGTTTCCATAGTAGCCTTTATATGAGACATGAAGAATTTGTTTGTAGATCTGGTAAGAGCATTTATTACACACCTACATCAGCTTTCTATAACAAAAAGTTGGGTAACCTTTAGGTATGTCTCAAATTGGGTAGTTATTAATTGCTTAGAACAAACCCGTGGGGTGGGTTCTACAAGTTAAATGCCTTGGCAATATAAATTTGTGGTCCATCCATCTTGACTGCACCTAAAATATAGTTTGACTGATTTTGGTGGCTCTAACAGTTCCTTCAGTTAAGAATGAAAGAACCTGATGTTTCAGAATCTGGGTTTACTCCGCCTTAGGATCAGTGAGAGATCCAATGTTGGTTGGAAGGTATGAGGCATGATTAAGTCAATCCGCATAGCATGTCTAGTTGGGAAAAAAAATATTGGGAATAATTTGAAGAAAATTATTGAGGGAAGCACTTTTGTAAGAAGTGCACTACAATTAGTTTTGTCAAGAATAATATTGAATTTCCCATAATCCAATCATTATATGTAAATTGCAAATATATGCTATTTCTGAATTTCTAACGATTCTGCTATATTTTGGTTTCTTTGTCATATGGAAAGGACACAAAATTTGAGGAATAATGAATGATTTGAAATGTTGTCAATATTTGTTGTTAAGCCTTCCAAATTGTAAGAGAGTTTGCTTCGTGTATGAAGGCACTAGGGAGAAATAATATTTCAGTAACTTTTCTCTTTATTTTATTTTATTTTATTTAATTTTTTTTTTTTATGACCGGATGTCCGGGCCAGTTTACATGCATCTCGACTAATCGTAGGACCCATGCAAAGTGCTCCCTCCATATAGATCAGACAAACCTCAGGAAGAGTCCGCGGGCATGGCCCTAAGGAGTTGATAACACCTAATGGGCGTTGAGCCTGAGAGCTGGATGGAGCAGATCCCCAACCTTCAAGCTGCACCCATTAGACCAACTCAAGGGTGAGAGTTGAGCCTGAGACCTAGAGGGAGCACACCCCAGCCTCCAAGCTGCACATATTAGGCCAACCCCTTGGGGTTAACAGTATTTCAGTAACTTTGACTTGATGTTTGCAGTTTCTTATTGGTTGTGGACACCACTTCTATTTAAACCAGTTTATTCCTCTGCCTTTAGACACTTCCCACATTCAACCTTTAATGTGATATTTGATAAGAATTGGAAAGCCTAGTTTAATTAATATTAAAGATTTTAATTAGTGCCATGTATTGTTTTGTTATTGAACAAAACTTTGTAAATAGCTAATGGTTTATATCGAGTTGAGGAAGAAGTCACTATATAGAAAACTCACTTAGTCTTGTGAAGGTTTTGTTGCAATAACTTCTTTTGTATGGAACTTCTAAATGTAATATATTCGTGCCTGTTTTATAATTATTTTGTTTAATGTTTTCATCCTCCGAATTTGATGGACATTTTTTATGAATCAGATCGCTATGTTTAAGTCCTCATGTGAATTCACAATTAAAGATCTAAAACGTTGGATGATGCCGGAAAAGGTAATTTGTTTATAGACCTACACCGGAAGCTATTACATACCATGTTGTATTGATAGTCATTCGGTCAGCATGATATAATGCAAATCTTGTCATATTTTTCAGGTTAAAACCTCAATAACCACTTTTCCTTCTTCAGCAGAAGTGTTTCCAGAGCCATTAGGTGTCGTATTGGTGATATCAGCATGGAACTATCCTTTCTGTATGTCAAGTTCCTTGCATCTTTGTTATCCTTCAGTAGCCAACTTACATATTATATTTTCCTTGTCCCAAAAAAAAGAGCGAAAGAGAAAAATTATGATTTGCATGATGGTTGAATATTCATTCCCCTTTTGCAATTGTTTGTTTCATGTAATATTCATAAACGTCCACTGGTGCTTATGTGTTCTTTCATCTTTTCTGTTGGCATTGTATCAAATTCATGGCCTGAAAGCAAATTGGTAATACATTATCTGCACTTCTGGGCTGCATTTCTTTGGTGTTACCATCCTCATCATTATCATAATCCTTATTTTCTTCCTTCTCTTTGTTGGGCATCTCTTTACTTTTATGTGGAAAGAAGACACTACCATTTATTTGTGCATTAATTAGTTTGTCACTTATTAGAAATGTGAGACAAATATCCCCCGTCTTGGAGCCATCAAGAATTGTGTGATTTTGGTTGCTTTCAGGATCCACGAACCTTTAATAGGATTGAGGAAGAGAAGTTGGTGCTATTTTATGCTAGTCTTGCTAGCCTTGTGGCATCTAACCAAGGAATATTCTTTTGGTGTTCACCTGTCATAATTGACTTGGTGAATCTTCTTTGCTTTATTGCAGATAATTTGTTTGTCTATGACCCTGAAGTTAGAATTTAGAATATGTTAGATCCATGAACCTTAAATAGGATTGAGGCTGAGAAGTTGGTGCTATTTTATGCTAGTCTTGTTAGCCCTATTGCGTCTGACCAAGGAATGTTCTTTTGGTGTTCACCTGTCATAATTGACTTGGTGAATCTTCTTTGCTCTGTTGCAGATAATTTGTTTATCTATGACCCTGAAGTGAATTTCTTGTACGATTTAGAATATGTTAGATTTTAACCACTTGCAATAACCAAACCCTTTGAATAGGATTAAAGCAGTAAAATTGTTGACTATCTATTCTAGATTCGTTGTAATTATCAAACAAGGGAAAAATATTGTTCAGTGACCTTTATAATAATACTTGTGTCTTCACTTTTTTATGTTGCCTCTTTTTTATTTTATTTTAATTTTTTAAACTATACTACATTGCACATTTTCTAGTCAGTATCTTTTGGAAGTTTTTATCAGACAGTCCCCTGAGCATTACTAGAGATGAAACCAATAAAAAAATGAATGATCACATTTACTCTTTGTATTGTTGTGGTCCGATCTTGTTCACCCTGATGAGGTGTCAGGCAAAGAGTGATGCATGCTATGGCAGTGCTGCCAAACAAAGTCTGATTCTGTTTTTCTAAACATGGACTGGATCAAACACTTGAACTGCTGGTACCTTTGACTTGTCCCGGTTCAAAGTTTTTAGGTTCTCAATCATGAAGCAATTTCACTGCATGTGAAAATGTCAAAACTTTTTTTATTTTTTCTTTCTTTGCTGTTTTACTTTTTTTTTGTTTTGGGGCCAGTATATACATCCTGTGTCTTATATTTCATTCTAAAATTCAAATTAGAAATGTTTATAATTTTTAATCAACATAGGTGTACCATCTCTATTTTTATTTTTTTGTAATTTAATGTTATATATTTAATGTATTTTATTTTTTCCTTTTTTGCGGCTCTGTGGACTGTCTAATTGAGCTGAAAAACTATGATTGACTTCCTCTAAGAACAATGGGCACTTCTAAGAAGGTAACATAGCATGTTTGATACTGTGTCGGACACTGACATATGACTCAACACTCATTTGACCTTCCAAATGCTAAGACGTACATAAATTCATTACGAGTGTGAATTAACATAAAATTCAATGATAAAATAAAAACAATGTAAATTCATACTTATTTTCCTTTTTTAGACTTCAAATATTGTTATCCTTGACCTAAATGTTCATATACATGACATATAATAGTTAGTTATTCTTATATATGGCATATAATAAATATATATAGTTATATATTTTACATGTGTCCCTATGTGTCATGTCTACATTTTAAAAAATGTTTTTCATGTCAGGGTATCCGTGTTGTTTCATGCGTCCGTGTCCATGCTTCTTAGGACTTCCTTTATGGGTTATGGTTGGGGCTCAAATCATTTTCCCGAGTCTCAATGTGTTATAAAAGGTCGAACTTTTGTTATCTGAAATCATTACCCTAGAGATTTTTAATTTTCAAGACAGAAATATAAATTCAGCATTTAGAGGAGAGCCAAAAAGTAATTCTTCCTTCTGATAGGCTGTTAGCTGCACATATGAAAACACTGACTGTATTCATTGAAGCCACATGTACCAATTCTGTAAACAAGTCTTCTTTAACCAAGAAGCTTATAAGCTTTGAAAAGGTACATTGAGTCCAAAGTTAATGTATGCTGTTTTAAAACTCAACATGTTGGTCTTGCTGGAACCTGAGTGGCCGTTGCATCTCTGTTTTGGTTGACAGAAAATATCCTATATTTCCATGTATGATGTCCAAATCTATGTTTAGCATAAGTTTTAACTAAATTTCCAATTGTTACCTTTGGTCACTTAGAAGTTAGCCCAAAATTAATGTATCCTGCCGCTCTGGTACATTCTCAGTCTATCAAAAATCTTCTACTATCTAAAGGCAACACGTGTGAGATATCTACAGTTGATTCTTCATAGTCCTGCCCTTTGTCTAGATTGTAACTTGAAAGGAGAAGAATCCCACACTTACTGGTTCATATCGTGTACATAATCCTTTGACCAATCACAGCTGTTGCCAAGTTTTTGGTGATTAATCTCCATTTTTATTTTTGCAGTTAGAACCCTCATCTTCAGTTAGGAATATTGCAGGAATATCTTGAGAGTTATAAATCTTATAAAATCAAGGAGCATCACAATGCAGTTGTGTTTATTTATAGATAACAAATGTACAGTTACCACTTGCACAGGAAGGTGTAATATCTGTTTTAATACTGCATGTAAACTTGTATCTTACTGCCATTTATCAAGTTGCCAAATGTGTGATTATTTGTACGAGAAAATAGACTTAACCATTAAGCTTTTAAACTTCTCATTCATGTTGACGGTGAGATGTAATTCTCCAGGCTATAAATATTGGTTGGTGTTAACTTGTTATATAAAATTTGAAATATTGTATAATACAGCTCTTGTTTGGCTCACTGAATTATAGTCCTCGTTATTATTAGCAATTTGAATGAGCTAAAACAGGGCAAATGTCCCTATACCCAAGTTCTCCAAAACTTACAGTTTACTCTCTACTTTTCCTATGTGCTTGAGATATATGTCTGATAAGGCTTTCACCTTCACTTAGCCAAAAAGAAGGCAAGACTTTCCCGTCCTTTGTTCCCTCTTTGTGCAGATTGGTACACTAGTTAATGTATTTTCCTATCATTCATTCAATTTGGATTTAAATCATGTTAGATTAAATTGTCTTGTTCTTTTGTTAAAATAGGATGAATGGTTTTTGGCTTAAACCTTGAATGAATCCCTCTTGCTGTATGCTTTGTTTTAGTATTTCAGTTAGCCCTTTAAGTGCTCTGAAGTTTTAGATACCCATTACATTACTTTGAGAGTTCATTATTTTGGGCATCAGCCAGGTCTCATGAAAAACTTTCATCCAACCTTGTTTCAAGTATTTTCAACCTGTGGTAAAGTTCATAGCACTTGGTACTTGTAAATGAACAATGAGGGCTGCTGATTTCCTGTACAAAGCTTTTTGATAAATTCCTTATTTTCTGTCTGAAATGCATTTGTTGTCTTGGCTCATGCAAGTTTTGTTTATCATTGTTATAGATTTTGACAAACTGATTTTTTCTTGTTATGATAAGTGACTCGGTTTTTGAATCAATTATTTTGTAAGAACAAGATTAAGGACTAGCAGTAACTTCTTTCTTCTTTCTTTTTTTGTGATCTTTCTTTTTCAGTGTTATCTCTTGATCCAGTCATTGGAGCTATTGCAGCTGGCAATGCTGTGGTTTTGAAACCATCGGAAATTTCTCCAGCCACATCCTCACTGCTTGCAAAATTAGTAGGGGAATATATGGACAGCTCTGCAGTAAAAGTTGTTGAAGGGGCAGTTCCTGAAACATCTGCACTACTGGAGCAAAAGTGGGATAAAATATTTTACACAGGTTCTTACCAAATCCATCATTTATGGAATTTCATGCAGAGCATGTTTAGGGCATCATGGAGTGAGGTTTTGGAATAATTTTGAGTCTTTATTTATATTCATTTCAATTTAGTATGCTGCTGGACAGATTTCATATAACTATATTAAGTATTAGTAGTTTGGAGAATTTTGATTATTTTGTTATTTGCTGGATATGGGTTGTAGGGGTCGCCATGGTCTTTCTATGGGTTAAAGTATGTTATTGGGTCTTTTATGGAGTCTTTATTAAGTCTAGAAATTATAACTGCTAGAACCTACCATCCAATAGGGCATTACCACTCTCTCTCTCTCTCTCTCAGCAACATCACATAAAAACCTTTTGACATTCCCAGAACACCACGTATTAGTAGGGCTACAAAGGGGGCCTTTGGTGCAGCTGTTAAAACAGATTGGCCCTATTTGGTAGAGCTGTGGGAAAGTGCTTATAACTTATGCCTTAACAACTTATAGCTTATAACTATGAACATAAGCTGATTTCTGACTTATAAATTAAGCTTCTCCTACTCAACTCAAAGAATAAGCTGATTTCTGACTTACAAAAAGTTATAAGCTGCATTGTTAAACTAAACCAAACACATCAAAATAACTTAAATTAAGCTGAAAGCTGAAATAAGCTGAAAAAAAGCTGTACCAAACAGGGCCATTATACCTTATAACTTAATAGATTATAGATTATAGATTTAATCAGAAGCTGTTAACCTGTTTGGTATAACTGTTAGATTATAGATTTAAGTTGCAGAGTAGTATTTATTTAATAAGCTGTAAAATAACTTTTTGTTATGTAATGTCCTTTTTACCCTTATTAGATATGAAAATTGTTAACCTACTTCATTTTCTTCATTTTTTTTTTTATTACATGCCAATAAATATAAAAATTGTGATTTATTTTTTCATTATGCACAATATCAATTAATTAAAAATTGTGATTATTTTTTTTCATTATAATACAAATTATAATATAAAATTTGTTAATTTTTTAAATTTATTATTAATCCATTACAATTAATATTATTTAATAACATAAAAATTGTTAATTTTTTTAATTTATTATTAATCCATTACAATTAATATTAACTAATAATATAAAATTTGTTAATTTTTTTAATTTATTATTAATCCATTACAATTAATATTAATTAATAATATTAAAATTGTTAATTTTTTTAATTTATTATTAATTCATTAGAATTAATATTAATTAAAATATAAAAATTGTTAACTTTTTTTAATTTAATAATTCATCACAAATACCAAACCTTGCTGCCGGCATCCCTAGCCACCGCCGGCCAAGCCGTTCTTCTCCTCCTCATCCCACACTCCAGCAGCCCTCTGCAATCGTTGATCGCGAAGAGAGAGAGAGAGAGAGAAGCTTGTCGTTGATCACGATCACGAAGAAAGAGAGACAGCGTTGATCGTGATCGTGACGCCGGAGAGGAGAAGAAGGGTTTTAGATCACGACGCCGGAGACAAAGGGAAGAAGGGTTTCAGATCGCGACGTCGAAGAGGAGAAAAAGAAGGGTTTCATCGTCACATCGCCGATTGCCATGCCGTCCATCGTCACTTGCGATGGTTTCAGATTGCGATGGGTTTCATAGCATAGGAGAGAGAGAGAGAGAGAGAGAGAGAGAGGGATCTGGTTCATACGCTGGAAATTGCCTGTGTCGTCGGAAATCGCCTGTGTCTCTCTCTCTCTCAGAGAATGAACAGTGATTTTGTGGTTTATATAGTGGCAATTTGGTAATACTTCAAATTATTGAAGGGCATTTAAGTAATTTCGACACCCCTCCGCATAATCCAATTGCGGAAGCTGCTCCAAGCCGCTTTTGATTTTCGACTTTTTTATGTAAGAAAAAAAATCTATAGAAGCTCAAGTGGTTGGCCTTAAGCTCAACCAAATAGTCTGTAGTAGCTTTTTAGAAGGCCAAAGCTATAATCTGCTCAAATTAAGCCAGACCAAACACCCCCAAACACCCAGATAGCCAAACACCACTGAGCACCATCAAAACCAACAATTACCTGACCATCACTTTACTAACATTACTGATCGCCACCATTTTGTGTCCAATTGAACCATCCAACATTCACTACTACTATAGCTTCCAAGTCTCTCTTACCACCATTAGAATGCCTTGCTGACTTCATACCTGATCAATTTCTGCAAAGAATTTTAAAAATTTCTGAAAGCACTGAGATGAAAGTAATTGGAAATAAACAATGGTGGTTGCGGTGGTTTACTGTGAATGAGGTAGGGTGTTTGAATAGGGATTTTGTGTTCGTGGCCTGCTTGCAGTAGGAGGTGGTTGGTCAATTTGATGGGTGGTGATTATTCTCTCATATTGGATTATATATGACACAGTCCGTCATTTATTCTAACTTCATAAGGAAATGAGTGCATCATTCCTTCTGGCCAACATGCTGGTCCATGAAGTGGCAACGGTGGTTGAGGAGTAGGGTGAAGTGGTTTTGTTTGTGAAAGTTGTGATTGTAGAGGTGGTGCTAGAATGACACATTCTTTATGGTTGTAAGTTGAAATACTTATATGTAAATACTATGTATTTACGGATGTGCCGAGAGAGAGAGAGAGAGAGAGAGAGAGAGAGAGAGTGGTGAATATTGGTACACAGTGTTGTGTTGCTAACTTGTATTACCATGCCAAGTAAGCTTTGCACTAGAATAATCATATGGATGCAGACGACATTGGCCTTGAATAGTGGGAATTTTTATGCTTGATGCTGTTTATAATTTATGTAATATCTATATCTCTTAAATTGTTGTGTAATGCTATATATAATCAAACTAATATCTTTGTAGGCAATGGAAAAGTGGGACGCATTGTGTTGGCTGCTGCGGCAAAGCATCTTACACCTGTTGCTTTGGAGCTTGGAGGAAAATGTCCTGTTTTTGTCGATTCCAACACCAATTTGAAAGTATAGGCCTTTCCTTTCCTTCAGCAACCTGACTTACAGTGCCAAATTCTTGTTGCAAATTATGGTGCCATGATTGCCAACTTTCTGTGGAATGTGCTAACATAAAATTTTCTGAATTTCCAAGGTCACGACAAGGCGGATTATAGCAGGCAAGTGGGGACTAAATAATGGGCAAGCATGCGTTTCCGCGGATCACATTATAACAACAAAAGATTTTGCTCCAAAATTGGTAAGGTTGGCTTTATGTGAAGAAATATGGTATCATTATATATGCAGATATCACCCGTTATATTTTTGCTTATTATGCAACTCATTCTCCAGATAGATGCTCTGAAAGTTGAGTTGGAAAAGTTCTATGGCAATGATCCATTGAAATCAGAAGACTTGTCTTGCATTGTGAGTTCCAACCATTTTGCTCGCTTAGAGAAGCTCTTGGATGATGATAAGATTTCTGGTAAGATAGTCCATGGAGGTCAGAGGGACCAAAACCACCTGTGAGTATTACTGCTTATTTGTTCACTGTCTACCTAGTTCTATAGTTTGATTAAGTTTAATGGGATGAACCTTTTGTATCATTCATGATTAATTCCATTGTTGCAGAAAGATTTCTCCAACCATTTTGCTGGATGCTCCAGAAGACTCTCTTATCATGAATGAGGAGATATTTGGTCCTCTGCTTCCCATTGTCACGGTAAAAATCTAGACAGACCATTCAGTGAGTTTTCATTGTTTTATGGAATATACTTGTGATAGAAAAGACGAAGAAAATTATTGGAGATATTTTTTTAGTAGCTTTCTTAGAATCTAAACAACTGATGCATTAGTAATTGCTAAAAAAGTCATTTTTTGGGGTCTTTTCAAACTTGGTTTTTGGTGATAAATTAACATATTACCCTTCTAGTGTTATGGAGCCCTTGTAGGGACACTGGAATTTCTGAAAGTATTGAGGGTAAAATTGTGTCTTCACAAATTTGCTAAAAAAGCTGATTTTTATGGAGAAGCCATACCAAACAGGCCTAGTGGCATGAAAGCAGCATTTATGTGCTTGCAAGTGAGGGGTTGGGAGTTCCACTCCTCAGAGCTAATCTAACAATTAACAAGATCAACAAAAAATAAAAAAATAAAAAAGGTTTTGCCTTTTTTAGCAAAAAAACTGTTTATTTAGTTCTTCCCAAACAGGAGACATTTAGCATCATCAGTGCTGATGTAGTAATCTCTCTGACACTGAGCAAAAGTGGCAGACATAACTTCCATATGATTTTTTAAGAGAAACTGTAGTAATAGAAAACAAGCATCCCTTTGGTAAACATGAGAAGTTTAAGCAGCCTTTGTCATGGACTTGATATAAACTTATATACAAGGAGGCCAGTGGTAAAAGCATGTGTATTGCAAAAAAAAATTTAGGTGGTCTCTGTCTGAACCATAAATTCTTGGCTGGGAATATGGCCTCTGTAGAAAGTAAACATGGAAACAAAAGATATATGTTGTTTGATTGCTGTTTTGGTTCTTCAGCTTTTAATGAAGTCGTAAAATATTGTGAAATTCTATATCGACTGTGACATTGTTTTTCTGTTGGTTTGTTCAGGTTGACAGTCTGGAAGACAGTTTCAATATGGTTAATTCCAAAGAAAAGCCACTTGCAGCATATTTATTTACCAACGACAAGAAGCTCAAGGAGGAGTTTGTGAGAAATGTCTCTGCAGGGGGTTTGCTCATCAATGACATTGCTCTACATGTGATTATTCTTTCCCGAAATCATACCATAAATAATATCGTTTACATTTGCATATAGAGACCTGCATTCATGAGTGCAAGCATATATACTTTCGTGGAGGATCATGTCTCATGATAGATGACATCTCCAGTGCTGCTACCTCACATGGATCCATGCTCTTTAAAATAAAATAAAAAATAATTAAAAAAACTACTATGAAATGCAGCGAGGGCTAAATTGTGGAGGTTTAATTTGGCATTATTTGCATGAAGTTGCTCATGCTATTTTGTCTTAGCTTTTTATCATTGCACTGAGCAATGGCCTATACATAAGTGTTGGCATTAACACTTAATGCCATGGAGCACTAAGAAGCCGCTTGACAAAAGAGTTTGGTTGGAATCTTAGGGAAATTTGAAATAGAAGTGTAAAAATGAATCTACTTCAAGTGAAGAGCAACTGCATTTAAAAAGAATAACGCATATTGAACCTCTTTATGTAAGTTTCATAAGTTTGGGAGTTGTTTCGATCTACATGTTTATGTTCCATTTTAAATTTGTTTTCTCATTCTGAATTGATCGAGGACCTAAAATGCATTAAAAAACTTGATGATGCAGCTTGCAAACCCTTATTTACCATTTGGAGGAGTTGGGGAAAGCGGAATGGGTGCGTACCATGGAAAATTTTCTTTCGATACTTTTACTCATAAGAAGGCAGTGCTGTACCGAAGCTTTGCTGGTGATGCATCTGCAAGGTACCCCCCATACACACCCGCTAAACTAAGATTACTAAGGGCTCTTCTAAGCGGTAATATCATCGGCATTATTCGTGCTTTACTTGGGTGGTGAAAGGTTCAATACATTGGTTCAAGAATAAGATTACGAAAAGCTCTTTAACCGGCAGTACATTTGGATACACAGGTATAATCATGTATTGTGGCTGTGCCTAATTGCAAGTTTTCTTTAGCTCTTTGTATGTTTTGCCAGTTTATTAAAATTTGAAGTACTCAAGGGTTGATATTTCCTTTGTTTTTTTTTTCTTTTTTCCTTCTCATGTCCCCATTTGAACAAATTTGTAGATATTAATAAAGAAAATGAAATTGTCTACCTTTATGAATTCTTAATTTTCTTTGAAAATCTTCTAGGAGGGGATGAGAGTCTTTTGTTTGTTTAAAATTTTCAGTCCTCAGAAATAAAAAACAATGAAAAGTTAGAAAACACCCTAGTTAAAAAAAAGTTCTCAAAAACAATTCACTAAAACAAGTTTAGTGTTTTCCAAGAAATGAAAATGGAAAACAGTGGTAGCTGGCATCAATTTGTTTAGTACACAAGTGGCAGCAATATATATGTTGTATTGGTTTTTATTTCATAAAAAACACACAATGCTTGGGCCATAGAATCTTTCTGTAGATGTAAACCTCGGTAATAAAATTAAAATGTGTTCTTTGATCAAGTACTATCCTTTATCTTTGTCAATCTAGCACACCAGTTAAAATTCTAATACATGGCTGGGCATCTAATTTACAAAGTATTGTATGACTCTGTTTATAATCTTTTACATATGTATTTTACAATGAAATATATTGAATTTGCTAGGTATAGAACCCAATTCATGGTCAACAAGAATCCTGTAAAATTTGAAAAACATTGGCTCGTTGTTCGTCTGTCAGTTCTGTAGGAAACTGAACTAGGAATTTGATTATCAAGTTTCCTCTGTTTCCTTCCTCGTTCGGCTTTGGCATGCCCTGCCCTGCAATGATCTTTTCATAGCCAGGCTGTATGATATCGTCGATCGTCAAGTTCATCTTCTCCCCACCTAACAGAGGGACAGAAATGTTGCAGCCAGTAAGAGCTTTCACCAGCGGTATTTCCACTCCCAACTCCAAATCGTCACCTTCTCTCCGAAACAATGGGTGCCTTTTCTCTCCAATCACAAAGATTATGTCAGCTGGTTCAGTGCCAGGTGTCTCATTTCCCATACCTTCGAATGTAATTTTTGTTCCTTTTTTCCATCCTGGCTTCACTTTGATTGTTAGCATTTCTTCGTCTTCTTTTACTGTTTGGCTGCCCAGAAAAAATAATGCACAACATTATAAAGAGTAAGTGGGTATTGAAAGCTTGGTTATGAACTTGGTGCAAAACCTAGATAGTCAAAGCCTAATTTGTTTCCAACCTTGGTTTTGATCTAATTGTTTTGCAATTTTTTGTGCAAAATGATTTCACTTTATTTTTCATGTGTGAATAATTTACCACACAAATAATAACGCAACGCGCACAGAAAAAGTACAAACCCATTGCTCGTTATAACGTCTCTTGTGATCATGATCTTCTTGACGCTTCCAAAACAGAACTCCTCAAGGGTGCACTCGAGGTTCTTCTCGATTGCTGGTGGTTTGATCAACCCTGTTGAGTTTGAATACATGATGGGTGTCATTACCTTCCGATTTGAAACACTCCTTGAGAGTGAACCTCCTCCGCCTGCAGGGACGGTAGATGTGGAGTCGTTCCGGCTCGAGCTCCTCGAGAGTGAGCCTCCTTCGGGGGATGCAGTTCTTTTGCCGTTCTTCCGGCTTATGCTTTTCAAGAGACGGCCAGCTGCCACCACAGGCATCGGGTTTCGGCTCCGCCGGCTCGTGCTTCTTGAGAGAGAAGAGTTTCTTGAGAGATTATTAGGGCTTGAGCTTCTTGACAAGGGAGAGGGACATGGCGATGATGTAAAGTAATTGTTGACCCTATGATTAGGAGATCCCGGATCATCGCCGCCTTGCATTCCCTCGCCGTTGGATCTGAAGTGATCATCGACGCCATTTGTGGCTCTTCTTTCATTGCTTTGATCGTTCAAATCCTGAAATTAGGGTACGCAAATATTCATTTGCATGCATGGATGTTCTACCAAGAAAGCTATAGGCAAGCAATGGAATGCATAATAAATTATTTGCATATCAAGATTTTAAATTTCAACAATTGTATTTGTGTTCTTTGTTTTAGGCTCCTTTCTCAAACATATCGTCGCACGGATAGCCTATTGATTAAGGGGTAAATTACAAGGCGAGCTATAAATTCAGACGTTTTGAGTTCTCGTCATTAAAACGAAAAAAGAAAAAAGAAATAAATTTACAGGAATTTTGGAATTGCTTGAAATTGAGATTCAAATCCAAATCTATGAACATGTAAAAATGTATGTATGTGTACCTTGAATGTTGATTTGAATTTGTCATCAGATTGATCGGGCTTGGGTTCGTTAGGAGAAGGATGCTTCTTGTCATGATGGTGATGATGTCGTTTTGAGACGAGTGATCCATATGCTTTACATAAACCTCCTATGCCAAACATGTTAAAGACAACCTCCAATGGTGAGAGAAAGAGAGAGAATTATGAAGTATATATCCACAAAGAATGCATGCATGGTTAGCCAAATATATATAAGAATGCGTTTTGTGAGGCCTTTTATTTGCTGGATCAGTTAAAGGAGATGAAGAGCTGGCTCTATTCGCTATCTATTTATTTTTAATAATTAATCACTGTCTAATAATTAATTACACGGCTAAAACAATAATGACGTGTATTCTCGATGGCCTGTAGTTGTATTCTTTTATATGCGTGTATTTTCTTTCCTTTTTTAAATACATATATTTTTAATTTTTTTTTATAGATTTAACTTTGAATACTTTTTTTTTTTTTTTTAATCAATCAATAGGATATAATATTTACTATTGGACACATATTTTAGGTGTGTTGTGCTCAATTAACATGATGTGAAACTAATATTTTTGTCAATTTTTTATTTTTAATTTTACAACACAATAGGTAAAGGGTTATAATTTTATTTATTTTGATCAGAAAAAAAGAAGTTTTATTGATGAAAAAAAGCAATATGCATGCCAAACTTACATCAACAAAGTAGGGAAGTGTACTGAGCATCAAAGTTGACCTCAACAATCCCAACTAAGTTGGTATCGCAAAGGAAGCATAATCATATGCTAGCACTTAACCTAAGACTAGTGAGAAACCAACCAAAAGCGACCAAAGGAAGAAAGAAAAAATACAGCAATAAACCAACACCAGTGTCAATGCTGCTGCTACTGCTGCTCTCCAACCAAAACAATGTTGCTGCTTGTGATAACCCTATTCCATATTATGCTAATTAATCTTAATTATGATTGTGATTATGTATATTAATATGATTTTGGATGTCATTTATATGATTATATGTATTTTGAACTTCTATCTGTTCACCGTAGGAAAATCTGTTGAACTTACTATTATGAACTGAAAATTGAAGGTCTTATCGGCTACTGAAACTGAAATTGACTACGCCATTGTGATTGGCGTAATTTTTAGAGCCTATGGTAAAATTTAATTGAAAACTGATTCAGATTAAAATAATTAGATTCAGAACGATTAAATTAGGCTTAATTACTTAGCCTTAATCAATTTGATTAGGCCAACATATATAAGTAGCCTATTTACATTTATGAGCCTTGTTTTTGAGCTCATTTCTCTTCCTTGGCTGAAATCACACTCTAGAGAGAGAGGGGGCCGGTTCTAGAGAGAGAAAGAGGGAGAATTGTGTGTATTGGCCCAAAGTTTGTGAATTTAGAAGCTTAACTCCAAGAATTAGCTAGAAATTGGGAGCTTGGAACTCCAAGGTGAGTGTTTGAGCATTGGTTCATAAGTTGAGGTTGTAATTTTGAGAATTTGATGTTAGATTATAATCAAAAGTGTGAGTTGAGTTGAATATGAAGTTAGAATGCACATGCATGCATAGAATTACCATGAATTGCCATGAATTGCCATGAATTGTATAATCTAACATGTAGCTTGTTAATTATGAAAAATTAAGTGTTGGATCATACATGCAAGCATGGTCTTGATGAGTTTCATGTGTGTAAGCATCACTTGAGCCATTTGAAATGGAATTAGAGTCAAAAATTAACATGCATGCTTGATTAATGGAGATATGAAGTTTGTATGAGGTTTGAATGCATGGGTTTTGATCATACAAGAGAAATGTTGATTAATTTGGGAATAAGAACATGATTTTGAACAGTTGACTTCATATTGGTTATGTTCTCATAGTATGTAATGTGTTTTATATGTTTTTATGTCCAAAAACTTGAGTTTTGAACCATTGGACATTGAGTTTGAGCTTCAAGAACAATTTTGGAAATTCTAGAATTTGGCGTGTCCGCTCGAGCGGGGAAAAGGCCGCTCGAGCGTGAAATGTTAGTTCCTAGAACTTTTGCAGACATTGATGTCCGCTCGAGCGCCAAGCCACGTAGTTTGACTTTCAGCTCAAGCGCCCGAAGTCACGCTCAAGTGTAAAAGTGAGGCAACCAATTCTTTTACAAACCAAAGGGGTCCGCTCGAGCGACAGAAGCCACGCTCGAGCGGGGAGCCCTGTTTCAGAAATTTTTTAGAGATGATTTTATGTTTAGTTTCCATTCTCTTTCACTCCTAAACACTCTTAGACATACATTGAGCATTGTAAATGGACTAAGAAGATAAGAAAGAGACCTAAGAGGAATGTATGAGTTAAGAATGGATTGAATCGTTTGTGACCCATATGTGTTGTGTATTATGTAAGGTCGAGCACAAGGACAAATCCACCGGCAGAACACTATGAGTAATATCTTAGTAAAGATATTTTGAAGTATGTTATTTGTCCAATTGCTTATTCCTATATGAGTCTTATAAGCTTGTTAATTTGGATTGTGGATACATATTTGTTATGCCATATTGGTTGGGCCAAAGGCCGTTAGATACAATTGATTGGGCCGAAGGCCGTTTGACATGAATGATTGGGTCAAAGGCCGTTTGACATAAATAATTGGGCCGAAGGCCGTTTGACAAAAATGATTGGGTCGAAGGCCGTTTGACATAATTGATTGGGCCGAAGGCCGTTTAACATGAATGATTGGGCTAAAGGCCGTCGGATATGAATGATTGGGCCAAAGGCCATTTGATACGATTGATTGGGCCAAAGGCCGTCGGATACGATAGATTGAGCCAAAGGCCGTCGGACGCGAATGATTGGGCCAGAGACCGTTTGACATGAATGAAATGGGCCAGAGGCCGTCTGATGTGCTCGGGCTTAAAGCCGTCTAATGTATTAGATAAAACTAAAGATGGGCCCAAGGCCGTTTGATATATATATACCTATTTTGAACTTCATTCATGTATTTTCTTTATTTGATATTATTCACTAAACTTTCGCTCACACTCACTCATGTGTATGTAGGTGAGCCAAGAGATGTCCAAAACCAACCTCAGTGAAATATGTGAGAAACAGTCAAGGTTTTGAAGAGGCAGCCCAAATGTCTCATGCACGAGACTTGTCTTCGCCTCTTTTGTTCTTTTGTTATAATTTTGCTACATTAGCGAAAACGTTAGACTACTTTTGTATATAAACTTTGGGTTTGACTGACTTAGACTTGAATGATCCCGTATGTATGGAACTTTGGGTTAATTTCCTTTTAATGTGAGTTATTAACGAATATATGTGAAATGTTATAATGTGCCATGTAAGCACAGCTCTATGGAAAAAAATTTTAAGTTGCTTCTATTTGGCCCCTTAACTCTGATGGAGTATATTTTATTCGGTTTGAGGCTGCAGATAATCCCTTGATTACTGGCCGGTTATGACCTTAATCCATAGGGGTGGGTTCGGGTCATGACACTGCTGCTGGTCAATGACAGAAAGCAGCAATTGGTCGCCCACAAAGCCAGACCAAAACATATTAAGAAATAGACAATCCCAACAGATTATGGCCCAAACCACTGAAAGTTGTTGTTGTTGCACCTTCTAACCAAAGAAACAAAAACCTCACAAAAACAAAACCAAGACTAGCAACCACTGCTGAGCATAGCAGTCCAATGTAACAATCCACTGGTAAGCAAATCAGTCCACTGCTGAGCATAACAGTCTAACAAAACATATCAACCAACAAAACCCGTAGTAGAGCAACAAGATAGCATCAGCAGCAAAGCAACTAACTACACAGCATCAACAGTAGACATCAATACTTCAACACCAGAACAAAACAACTATCTATACAAATCAGCAAACCAGCACCCAGTGACACAACTATCTATACCAGCTTTTCCAAAGCAGACAAATCTGGTATTGCCTCATTAAATAAGCATTCATTCCTAATTTTCCACAATAGGAGCAACATAAACTAATAAAGAGATTATATTGCCTCAATGCACTTCAAATAGACTAGGCCACCTAGACTCTCATCTCTATCAATCAACACTCCCTTGAGTAACCCCTATATCTGACGCATCCTACCAAACTCACGAAACATCCTCAAAGCACACCCCTCAAACCACCTCCCAAGTAGAGTCTAATGTGTTCCAGATAGAAAATAAAATCATTCACTGTGAAAATATAATCCTTAAACACTTCCTTGAACCAAACAGCCATTCTAAACTTAATCAAATCACTCACACCTACCACATTTAGAACAATAGCCCGAAACAAGCATTCATTTCGATGATTCCATAGAGACCACATTACAACTAAAGGAATAGCTTTCCATGCCATCCTCTCTTTTTTGCTAAGCGTCACCCCTGCTCACCAATTAAGAATATCCTCCACTTTATCTGGCAATGCACCTTGTCCATTCCACCATCTTAACATTTCTGACCACACTCCCCAAGCAACTGGACATGACAGTAATCCATAATTGAGTGACTCATCCACAGATTTGCATAGACTGCCGACTAATGATGCATTAGTATTCATAACACCAATCCGGATAAGAAAGTATGTTGTCTTTAACCTACCTTTCCAAGCAAGCCAACCAAAAAATTGAACTCTAAGCAGAATGTTCTTGACCCAAACCCTTTTGCTAATTGGACTGAGGCTGCCAAAACCATCTGCCATAAATTTATATACTGATGCATATGTAAATTTCCCTGTTTTAGAAGCATTCCAAATTAGTGTATCATTTAAGGATTGCCTAATAGCAGGACCTGCCTCTAGCTAGCTTACCAATCTAGTGTCCTCCATTCTTTCCCAATCATATAATTCCCTTCTAAATTAGAACATCCATTCACCAGTAACCTCATTCCCTTCCATCATTGCATATAAAGACTCGCCCTTATTTACTACCAATCTAAACAAGAGGAGGAATTCATCTTTGAGACAAAAATTATAGCACCATTTATCAACCCAAAACCTCACTCTATGGCCATTACCCACTTTCACCTTACAATTATCCAGAAAAAACTCCAACAGTCTGCTGCTCTGTTCAGTGCCTGATACTATCTTTCCAAATCTTAGAGCACCTACTGTTTAGGCTAATTAAAGGCCTTCAATTCCCCTCCTCTACCCTATACTTACTGCATATGACTCTTTTCCACAGTGCTTTACTCTCAATACCAAACCTCCACCACCATTTCAATAAAAGGCAATCATTAGCCTCCTTAACTCTCCTAACCCCCAAACCCCCTTGCTTAACAAGTTTGGATACTTCCTTCCATTTTACTAGGTGAACCTTTTTTCTCAATTCAGACCCTTCCCAAAGGAATGAGGCCTGAAGGTTGTCCAGCTCTCTACCAACCCTTTGTGGCATTTTATATAGAGACAAATAGTATATAGGCAAAGAAGAAAAAAATAGATTTTATTAAAGTAAGCCTCCCTACAAATGAA